CAAAGACAAGCTCTGCACTCACAAAACATGGAGTAAATCTTGGAAAGAACACAGCCATTCCCTCGGGAAGAGCTAAAGGCTTCCAAAGCCAGACCAAGTGTGTCTCAGGCCTAACCCAAACACACCATTTATTCTGAATGACTGAACTGGTTTTGTCTCTGCTTATTTGAGCTTTTTTCCTAAGGAAAGCCTAACTCTGATTCAATACAGGACAGAGCTCTATGGAAAAGGGAACAATCCTATATCAGCCAATGGAAATAAACTAGGTCTTCTCCAATGCCTATTTCTGCAACCGAATTCCCTGTGAGCGCGCCACGGAGCACGGGCATCTCTTCCTTACTGGGTGGTGTGCTGGGATTAACACCTGCCAACACCGCTGTCACTGCTGGCCCCACCAGGGCATTCCCAAACTGATTTGGAGGAAACAAAGCCTTGCACTTGAAAGCCACAAATTACAGGGAATTCAGAGGGGAAGGCCAGCACAGAGCGCAAAGCCCATGTCTGCCCCAGAGCTCACAATCTTCACGCCAGAACCCTAAAAACAAGGCTGGGGAGAGCACAGCCCAGGCCCAGAGATCACCCTGGCCCCACAGCTCTGTGCCTTCCCTGCACAGCTCCATGTCCCACCCTTGCACAGAGCCCTCACTCCACACTCCCTGTAGCCATGGGCTCCCTGGAGCCGGCAGAGGAAGGAGCAGGAGGGCCACATGTGCACAGCCCGTGCCCACACCGTGACCTGCTGCCCAGAGATTCCTGCCAGGTCCTTCACAGGCCGACCTCATGCCCTGTGCTCGACCGACCAAGCAATGACACCTTATCCCAGTGGGCACTGCCACTTCCACGGCACTGGGGCCAGCCCCGGAGCCAGCCCTTGCCAATCCCAGCCTTTGCCAATCCCAGCCCCCTCCTGCTCCCTAGCAGGAGAAGAACCCCCCCCCAGCCCCCCCTGGAAGGGCTGATGCTCCTTTTCTTCCTCCCCATCCAACCCTGTCCCCAAACACCTGCCCGGCTCCTCTCCCCTCGCCTCGGGGATCCGCCTCCAGGGGGGTCCAGACCCACCCCACGACTCCCACCTTTCCCCCCCTGCAGCTCCCCACGCACCCAGCCGGCTCTGCCCGCAATTCCAAAACCCTTCCCACCCCGCCCCGCTCAGGGAACTCCTCCCCTCCCACTCCCCCGCTGCCCAGCCCACGGGCCGAGCCCCCAGACCCCACCCCGTCCTTCACACCCCTCCCACAACCGCCACCCCCCCAAGAGCCGCGCTCCGAGCCCTCACACACCCCTCACACGCCCGCAACAAATGTGGTTTCGACATCCACGACCCCTCCCACGGGTGCCTCCCACCCCGGACCAACTGCCCCCGCCCGGGACTGTCCTCTCCTAAAGCCCGCCAGCACCTGCCCTCCCCCGGTCTCCCGGCTCCCTCCCAGCCTGGCTCCAACAAGGCCCAAAGGCCCGGGTTGCCCCCAGGACCCCCCCGCCGCCCCTCCAGCTCTGACCTGGTCCCCGAGAGCTCCACCGGACGCCCTGACACCCCCCCAGCCAAAGCTCCCCTTCCCCTGCTTCTCACGTCCCCCCGAAAGTCCTCCCCGTCACAAACCTCAGCTCGCTCTCCAAAAACCCCTCACCTCGCTCCCCGGCCCCGTGAACTCCCCCGCACCAGCCCCCCCCCCGCCCCTCACGCCCCCGCCAGGCCCCTCCGCCCCCTCCGGCCGCCCCCGCCCTCACCTCGCGCACGGAGGCGCCGTCCGCGATGGCGATCTCCTCCTTGTCCTTGGGGGTCTTCACGGTGACGCGGATGAGCGCCCCGCCGGGCCCCGCCTGGCCCTCCCCGCCGGGCCCAGGCCCGGGGCCGCCGCCGCCGCTCGGCTCCGCCATCTTCGCCGCCCGCCGCCAGCCCGGGCCGCCGCCACCACAGAGACCAGCGAGCGCCGCCCCGGCCCCCTCCCCGCGTCCCGCGACAGCGCCCCCCGGCGTCCCGGAGGGCCAGGGGGTGGGCGGCTCGGGGGGCAAAGAGGGGAGGAAAGGGGTGGGGGAGCAGAGCGGGCACGGGCAGAGCGGGCACGGGCAGAGCGGGCACGGGCAGAACGAGCAGGGACAGAGCGGGCAGGGGCAAAGCGGACAGGGGGTGCTGCCCGCAGGGGCCCCCCGGTGCCCCCAATGACCCCCTCGGTACGCGGCTCCATCCCCGATCCCCGCGGTGTCACCGCGGTCCCACGCCCGCGCCGTGTCCCCTCCGGCTGCCGAGGCCTTTCTGGGGGTCCGGACCCGGCCGGGAACTACAGTCCCCGGGATGCTCCGGGCGCGGCGCGACCCCGCGCCGGCCCCGCGTCGGCCCCGCCCGCGCAGCCGGGGCGGCCATGCTGCGGCCCAAGGCCCTGACGCAGGTGCTCAGCCAGGCCAACACCGGCGGCGTCCAGAGCACGCTGTGAGTGCGGGGGGCACTGCGGGAGCGGGGCGGCTTCCCCCGCCCGGGGGCTGCGGCGGGCGGTGCGAAGAGGGGATGCTGCCCCTGCCCGGGGGTGCTGCCTTCCCTTGTTCCTGCTCCTGCCCCGGGGGATGCACCCAGCCCCTGCCCTCGCCCTGCCCTGGGAATACTGCTTGGCCCTGCCCCTGGGGAAGCTGTCCCTGTCCCGAGGATGCTGCCTGCCCTTGTCCCTGCCCCTGCCCTTGCTTCTGCCCCTGCCCCTGCCCTTGCCCCTGCCCTGGGGATGTTCCCAGGCCCTGCCCAGGGATGCTGCTTACCCTTGCTCCTGCCCCAGCCCCAGCCCTGCCCTGCGAATGCTTCTTGCCCCTGCCCCAGGGGATGCTGTGCCTGCCCTTGCTGCTGCCCCATCCCCTGTCCCTGTCCCCCCCATGCCCCTGCCTTGGGGATGCTCACAGTCCCTGCCCAGGTATGTTGCCTGACCCTGTCCCTGCCCTTGCTCCTGCCCAGGGATACTACCTTCCCTTGCTCCTGCCCCAGCCTCTGCCCCAGCCCTGCCCTGGGAATGCTGCTTCCCCTGCCCAGAGATGCCTCCCCAGCCTGGGGATGCTGCCTGCCCTTGCTCCTTCTCCTGCCCCTGTTCCTGCCCCATCCCCAGTCCCTGCCCCCTGCTCCTGCCCTGGGGATGCTCCCAGGCCCTGCCCAGGGATGCTGCTTGCCCTTGCTCCTGCCCCCAGCCCCTGCTCCAGTCCCTTCCCAGGGATGCTCCCTGCTCCTGCTCCTGTCCCTGCCTGGGGTGCTGCCTGTCCCTGTCCCTGCCCCTGCCCGGGGATGCTCTCTGTCCTGGCCCTGGAGGGTGAGGGGCCCCACCAGGGGTATGCCCACACACCCTGCATGGTGCTGGGCTATGGGCAGTGCTGGGGCTGTGCGTGACACGGGTGTGCAGTGTTGTGATCCCTGTGCACTGTGCCAGGGCTGTGCGTGCACAGGGTTTGCCCACCAGGCTCGTGCCTGCTCTGCAGCAGGTCCCACTGCTTCAACAGACGCAGCCACTCAAACCCTGCTTGGGCCTGGGGCCACCCAAGAGCTTCCTGGCTTTGAAGCCCCCACACCCCCTGCCAAGTGGGGGTGTCCAGGGAGCAGCGCTTGGGACTGGGCAGGGCTTCACTCTGCCCCTGGCACTGCAGTGGGGTCTGATGCCCATTTAGAGGCACCAGTTCCCCCCCCATGTCGTTTCCAGGCTCCTGAACAATGAGGGGTCCTTGCTGGCCTACTCTGGCTACGGGGACACCGATGCCAGGGTCACCGCGGCCATCGCCAGCAACATCTGGGTGGCCTACGACAAGAATGGGCACCAGGCGTTCAATGAGGACAACCTCAAATTCATCCTCATGGACTGCATGGTATGTGGGGCTGGGGGCTGCCCTCCCCTCCCTGGGGTGCTGGGAGTCCCCCGGGACCCTGCCCGTGGTCCGGGCCAAGCTGGGATGTGACAGATGCTGTTTCTCCCTGGGCAGGAGGGGCGAGTGGCCATCACACGGGTGGCAAACCTGCTGCTCTGCATGTATGCCAAGGAAACAGTGGGATTTGGGATGCTGAAGGCCAAGGTAATGGTGGTGGGGAGGAAGTCTGGGGGGCTGCAGGGCTGAGTCCCTGCTGTGGTGTGGGAAGGAGCTGTTGAGGATGGGAATGGGAGGATTGGAGGAAGCTACCATGCCTGGGATGCCTCTTTCCTCCTTGCAGAGGCTCCTCTGTCGCCCATGCCCACCCAGGCACCACACCACACCTTTTTAAGGCTCTAAACTGAAGTATAAATTACAATAAGCACCTGGGCAGTGGGCACAAAGGTGGCAAAACCCCCGTGGGCACGGCTCACACTGCTCTCTGGTTGCAGGCGCAGGCGCTGGTGCAGTACCTGGAGGAGCCACTCACCCAGGTGGCCGCATCCTGAGCAGGGCAGCAGAGGGCTCTGAGGTGCTGCCAGGCTTTGACACCATCACTGGCGTGGGTGGAGGGTGAGCGGCCCCATGAGCATCCCAGAGCTCTGATGTGGCCTTAAAAATAAGGTGGGGGGAGCACAAAAGCTGGGGGTAATAAAAATGTGTCTGATGCTTGTGTCTGTTGTGAATAAAAGGGGGAGCTGGTAGGGTAAAGCATCCCGGTGGGATCCCCAGGCCAGGGGGGCCTGGGCGGTGTTTTGGGGCTCCTGTTGCTCTGCAATGAATAGAGACCCAAGAGAAAAACAGGGCTGGTGTCAAGGGGGATAGGTACAAGAAAGTCGAGCCCCCCGACAGCCCTGCCCAGCCGCTCGGGGTAGCGAGGGCAGCGGGGGCTCCTTCCTGTCCCAGTTTTCCCGACTTTCACACGATGGCAGCAGAGGCGAGGGAACGTTCAGAGTCGGCAGGAGCTGGGCTGGGGAGGGGGGGCTCTGTTTCTGTCACGACTGCCCTCGCACCCCTCACTGCCCATGTTGACCATCCTGTTCACGCTGCCCTCGCTGCCCCAGCCTGCCCCGCGCTCAGGCAGGATCAGGCCCCGGCTCCTCCTCCGGCCACCCCGTGACGGTCCCAGGGGTGACACTACCTGCCCAACCTGCGCTGCGACACCCGGTCCCACCCCTCGAGTCAAGGGCCGCGCTGCGCTGCCAACCCGGCCGGCCCCGCCGCCGCTGCCGCCACCCTGCGCGCCCCCTGGGCCCCCCTCGCTTTTCCCACCCGCTCCCCGACGGAGAGGAACCTTTGCCCGCTCCGTCTCCTCCCTCGGCGCCTCCGGGAGCTCGGCCCGCCCCGCCGTCTGCTCGAGGCTTGGCAGCGGGAAGGAGGAAACCCAGCGGTGGCCCCGCGAAGGCGGGCGGCAGCCGGGGCGACATGGGCAGCGCCGAGGAGGATTATAACTTTGTCTTTAAGGGTGAGTCCTGCGCTCGATGTGAGCCCCCTTCCCCTAAAGGGATTGAGCAGGAGGCCAGGGGCTACGGGGAGGGAACTGGGGTGGCTTCCCCCGGGGCTGCTGTGTCCTGAACCGGGACGTTGTTGACTGTGCAGCTGTGATGGGCACTGGAGCTGCAAAGGGTCAGGGAGTTGGGGAGCAGGCACTGGCCTTGGCCGTGTCCCCAGCTGACAGCAGCGAGGCCAGGGCTGACAAGCGATATCTGGATCCATGGAGTCATGGGGAGATCCACATACCCCAAGGCTTCAGGTGGGGTGCTGGGTGAATTGCTGGTGTGAGGTGTAGGGGCTGTGACAGCTGGGGTCGAGCATGTGAGACATAAAGGCAGTATGAGCCCATAACTCCCACGAGCAGCAGGCGTTGAAAAGTCATTCTGCTGTGGTGACCAGGGTGGTGGCACATGCAGAGGACATGGGGGTCAAACCTCGGCTGGAGAAACAGGGGCACAGCCTCACACCTTCTGGCCTGAGCTCCTCAGACACAGGGCCCTGGCATCCTGTGTCTCTGCTGGGTGCTACTGGCCAGACCCCCCAGGGGCTTAGAGCTCTCCTTTGGCAAGCAGAGACGGACAGGCTCTGGTGTGCCACCCATCCTGGGTGCCCACTGCAACAGGGTGACCCAGGGCTCACCAACATCCTCACCCTGCTCCTGCTGCCCAGAGCCTGGTAGCTGTGACTCTTATGAACAGCTCTGGGACTGTACCAGCAGATGGGGAGCATAGCTGGGCTGTGCCGAGGTGGCTCGGCCACACTCAAGGGGCTGAGAGCTCATGGCACAGGGACAGACCCCAGTTTGCTGAAGGAGCAAACACACCAGGTGTTAAGTCCACACACCTGCCCAGCTTCTGTGCCCGGTCTGGGGTCACTGGACAATGAGTGATGCCCATGCAGCCAATGCCAGTAGCGGGGCGGTCTAGTGGGATTTCTTCTTCCTCCCACAGTCGTCCTAATTGGGGAGTCCGGGGTGGGCAAAACCAACCTGCTCTCCCGCTTCACCCGCAACGAGTTCAACCATGACAGCCGCACCACCATCGGCGTGGAGTTCTCCACCCGCACAATCCTCGTGGGAGATGCTGTGGTGAAGGCTCAGATCTGGGACACTGCGGGGCTGGAGCGGTACCGCGCCATCACGTCAGCGTAAGGATGGGATGCCCGAAATCTGGGCTCCTCTGGGACCTGAGGGGTGATGCCCTCATACTTGAGCCCTATGGGTGAGGTGTTGAGGGGGATGTCCGGAGCGTGAGGTGATGGTGGGGTTCTGCCATAGGTATTACCGGGGGGCCGTGGGTGCCCTGGTCGTGTTTGACATCACCAAGCACCAGACGTATGATGTGGTGGACCGCTGGCTGAAGGAGCTCTATGACCATGCCGAGGCCAGCATTGTCGTCATGCTGGTGGGGAACAAGACCGACCTCGCACAGGCTCGGGAGGTGCCCATGGAGGAGGCAAAAATGTTTGCAGGTACAGGCTGGCACCCTGCTACAGGGGCTGGGGGCTTGGGAACCCCCCCAGCAACAGGGACCTGCACCAGTGCAGGCACCTGAACATCTCCAAAGGGGCTCTAGAATGGAGCCATGCCCTTTCTGGGGTCTGCATTGTCTCAGGGACTCCTCTACTTGCAGACAACAAAGGGCTGCTATTTGTGGAGACGTCAGCGCTGGACTCCACCAACGTTGAGCAGGCTTTCGAGACCATCCTGAAGGGTATGGGCACTGGTGCCGTGGTGCAGCAGGGTCCTGGGCCATTGCAGGGTTCATTCTCAGGGACGCAGTGCTGGGCAAAGGATGTGCAGAGCTTCTCTCCTCTGCCCTGCCCCACCTGAGCTCTTTGGGGCTGGTTTCGGTGTTGGCTTTCTGGCTGGTTTGGTTTCCAGCCTTTGGTGCTGGGCGTTTCTCTCCCCACACCCACAGCTTTGTTCTCATGGCCCTTGGGAATTCCTAAAGCCCCAGAGGCTCCTTCTCCCCCATAATCTCCAGTCCCCTTCCTGTTGTCTTGGCTCCTGACTCAACGTCTCCAGCACCCTGCTGAACTGGCCATGGGGACCTGGGGATAGGGATGGAGGGGGGTGATTCTTGGCTTATGCAGGAGCAGCTCTCCAGGAACGGCAGCCAGCAGCACCAGGGCAGCCAGATGTGCTGTGCCATGCCAAGCCATGCTGTGCTGTGCCATGCTGTGCCGGGCTCTGCCGAGCCAGCCTGGCCCGGTGAGCTGCCAGGCCCGGTGCAGGACGAAGCACTAATCCCAGGTTGGGCAAGAGGAAATTGCCTAAGCACAGGGTGTTCCCCTGGTGCCACAGGGATGCAACCTGGCAGAGCTGCTCCTTTGTCACCTCTCAACTCACCCCTCTGCTGCGTAGAGGGGAGGGAGAGCCATGGGCGAACAGCAGGGGCTGCAGGCTTGAGGCTGTCCCTGCTTCCCCAGGGGCCTGGGCTGACACACAGACCCCTCAGCACCTCTTCTTTTGCAGAGATCTTCCACAAAGTGCAGAAACAGAAGCAGAGGAGCAGCCAAAGCAACACGGTGTCACTTGCCAGCGAGAGCCCTGCAAGCACGGCCCCAGCACAGGCGGAGAGGCGCCCGTGCTGTGTGGCCCTCTGAACCAGCCGGGCACCCTGGGAAGCCCCCAGGGAACCCCACAGTCCCGGGACATGCCAATGGCATAGAGCTGGGTCTGCCTCTGGCTACCAGCACAGGCTGTGCTGCCTGTGGTGCCACCCTCGTCCTGGTGCAGTGGGGACCAGCAGCCTGGACAGGGGCCAAATTCTGCCATAAATGGTGAGAAGCACCTGTGCCGGGAGCTCTTCTCTCTCTGTTGTGTTTTTGCCGGGCCCTGATTAGTATCACCACCATCATGCACTGTCCCAGTCCCTCTGGACCTGCAGGACAGAGAACTGGAATACCTCTAAGGCACTGCTGGGGAAGGAGCCAGGAGGTTCTGGCCAGGGTTATGCCAGCAACAGGAGCCTCTCAGATTGCCTCTGGCCCTGGAGTTGCTCCTGTGCCACACGCTGGGGATGTGGCTGACCCACAGGTGTCCATCCTGCCAGGTACTGCTCTGGAGTTGAGCCAAGCCCTAAGGAGTGAGTGGCAGCACTCAGCCCTTGGCTCACTTCTGTCCCATCCCAAACATGGGCAAGTGTGACAGCAGGACCAAGTGAAGGTCCCTGCTGTCTGCATGGTGGGACAGGACTCGTTGCAGGGCCCTGGTGCCACAGGGCCAGGAACAACAGCTCTGTGTCCAGAGCAGGGGTGATGCAATCATTAAAGGACTTGTGAAATGCAGGTTTGCTGAGCTGGAATTCCTGCATGTTTGTGGTCGACTCCCTGGGTCCCCACCTTCATAATGTGCTGGACACAGCGGCCTCCAAAGCAGCACAGCTGGATGCCATGGCCCCCCTGCGCCCCCTCCCACACCAATGCCATGGTTCCTCTGTGCCCCCTCCCACCCCAAAGCTGTACTCCCCCTGCAGCCCCTCCCCAGGCAGCCTTTACCAGTCCACATCCCCCATTTGGACTTCATCGGTCCAAACGATGATGCAGCCTCCGCCAGTTATCCGAAACCCCTCGGAAATTCCTGCTGGATTCTCCATGTCTTCACTCACTTTCCCTTTGCACCATGCCAGCTGTGCCCTGCCCAGGTCCCTGTCCCAGCCATGGTTCTGCATGGAGTGTGTGGCCGTCACCGTCCCTATCAGTGGCAAACACAGGTGGTGGCCTGTACCTGCTGCTGTGCAGATCCCTGCCCCCCCTTACCTGGCCCAGGTGAGCACACCTGGGCTATGACGGGCAGCCCCAGCTGCCAATGGGTGTGGAGCAGGAAGGGCTGTGGCCACCAATGGGTGGCACGGGACAGCCCCTGCCAGGGCTGGATAAGGCCTGGAAATCCCGGTTAGCCCAGTGGGAGTGGGGCTGTGGTGCCGGGCGAGATGCGAGGCAAGGACGATGAGTACGATTATCTCTTCAAAGGTGGGTCTCCTGCCTGTGCTGTGCTGGCCATGCCTGTAGTGAGCTGTGCCAGTCTCAGCCTCCTGCTGGCAGGGCTGGCTCCATGCAGCACCCTTGGGATAGGGCTGGAAGCTTGTACTGGGATATAACACCCAGTTCCCAGTGCTGGGGACCAGCATGTAGGCTTGTTGTGACATTTCCCTCTGCTGAGCAGGGAGTGGGTACTGGTGGGACTGGGGTTGAAATGCTGCCGTGGTCTGAGGGTTTGCTTAGAGCTGGGCTGATGGTTTGTGGTCCCAGTGCTAATTACAACAGCTCGTTACTGCTGCGGGAGGAGGCTGGAGCCCTCGCCTGAGTGCAGTGTCCTGGGAGGGGTGGCCGTGGCTGCGTCAGGGTGCTGGTCCCTGGGGCGGTGGGCGAGGCAGGTCTATGGGGCTCTGTGGGGCTCTGTGGGTGCTATGCTTGCCCCTGAGCACCTGTGAGTGCTCTCCTCTGCCAGGTTGGCTGGGGGGAGCATGTCTGGGGGCTGAGTGAGAGACCCCAGGAGGGAAAGCTGTGCCAACCCCCAGCATTGGTGGAGGGGAAGGATCCTGAGATCTGGGGTTGTCCTTCCTGGTGCTGGTCCTGGTGGGACACCTCCAATGTGCACAGGAGGACAGGGACTGGCCCTTGGAGACACAGTGTTGGCATTCCTGGTTATGGGAGCCCAGCACCCCTGTGGAGCATCCCCATCCCTGTGTATGGCAGGCTTCCCTACCATCTGCTGTGGCTGGAGCAGGTGCTGGAGAAGCAAGGGGACATTTTGGGCCTGAGTGGGTGCTGGCAAAGCCAGGGGACATCTTAGAAACGCCACAACCTCCTGAGCCATAAAACCGGGGCGTGAGCTCACCGGCGGGCGGCTGTGAGTCAGCCTGCCCACACAGCCCTGCCCGAAAGGCCCCGAGTAATTCCAGCCACCGACACGATGTAATTCCAACCAGCGACATGCTGGTAGCCCCTGGCTCCTCACACACCTCCCCTGGCCTCTGCCCAGGAAAATCCTCCTCCCTGGAGTTATTCTGGGACCTGGTGAGGGGGAAACTCTGATGCTGGGTGGTGCCTTGAGCGAGGCACCCAGGCAGGAGCTCCTCTGACTGCTGTGCCCTGCACTTCCTGGCCGGTGCTGTGCCAGCAGAACAGCTCTGAGGGGGCTCCAGCACATGATCCTCCTGTGCCTATCCATTCCCTGTGTCCAGGGGCATGGAGCTGGGCTGGTGCTCCTGGGCTACAACAGCTCAACTCCTCCCATGAGAGAAGGAACATGATCACAGCTGGAAAGCAGCATAATTCCAGCTTTCACTGAGACAGGAGCATCAACTGTTGTGATGCTCATTCCGGCTGTGCTTGTGGGAAGGCCCTGATGCTGCTGGAGGGGCTCAGGGTGGATGAGGCACAGCTCTGGGCATGGCTGCTTCTGGGAGCCCTCCTTGGGGCCCTGTGTGGAGGTACAGGCTGTTTCCACCCCCTCCCCTGCAGTGGGACACGGTGTGCTGCGGATGTTTGCTGGTGCTCGCAGGATGCCTGTTTGAAGGTGATGAGGACAGAGTGTGTCAAATACTTTTGCTGCTCCAGCCCCTCGCGCCCTTCAGGCTCAGGGGGAAGAGGCTCAGCACATTTCCCCTGGAGGCTGCAGGGCCCTGCCCACCCACCCCTTCCCTGCATCCATGGTGTGGTCCAAAGCCCTCTGGAGCCTGCCATGGAGCACAGCACTGCCGGGATGGGGGTTGCAGCTCGGGAGTTGCAGTTGGGAGTTTAGCTGGGGAAGCAGCAACTTCCCTTTGGTTAAGGACTGAGCCCAGATCAAAGCTTCGATGCTCAGGAAGTGTTAACGAGCCTGGCTTATCACTGGCCTGCATTTTCCTGTCGGCTGGTCCCGAGTATTGCAGACTGTCACAGTCCTCCCAGACCTCCATGCAGTGAGCAGCAGCCGAGAAGCCAATGCTGTCCTGGGCACATCCCCCAGCATGGGCAGCAGGGCAAGGCAGGGATTCTGCCCCCCTGCAGAGCTGCCTCCAGCCTTGGGGCCCCAGCACAGGAAGGATGTGGAGCTGTTGGAGTGAGTTCAGACAAGCCCATGGAGCTGCTCCGAGCGCTGGAGCCCCTCTGCTCTGGAGACAGGCTGGGAGAGCTGGAGGTGTTCACCTGGAGAAGAGAAGGCTCCAGGGAGACCTTCGAGCCCCTTCCAGTGCCTAAAGGAGCATCAAGAGAGCTGGAGAAGGACTTGGGACAAGGGGCTGGAGTGACAGGACAAGGGAGAACGGCTTCCCACTGCCAGAGGGCAGGGTTAGATGGGATCTTGGGAAGAAATTCTTGGCTGTGAGGGCGGTGAGGCCCTGGCACAGGATGCCCAGAGAAGCTGTGGCTGCTCCATCCCTGGAAGTGTCCAAGGTCGGGTTGGATGGGACTTGAATCAATTTTCTCTAGGGGAAGATGTCCCTGCTCATGGCAGGGCACCCCCTAGATGGGCTTTAAAGTCCCATCCACCCAAACCATTCTGTGCTGCTGTGGAGGAGCTGCCCTTCCCTCTGTCACTGGCTGTCCTGACATGGTGATTGCCAGTGAGGCTCAGGTGCTTTCCAGCTGTCCTTGGTGACCCCAGGGACCTGCTCCATGTGCTGTTGGGCTTCCTGGAGCCAAGCTGTTTGCTGGCCGCCCTTCACTGAGGGTTTTGGCAAGGGAGTGGCTGCATTGTTGAATGTTCTGCACCCCAGTCCATGCAAGAGAACCGTGTCAATGAGCTGGAGCTGGTGGGCAGGGGTTATCCAGGACATGGAGCAACATCCTTGGAGGATGGTGTCTGCTGAGCCTTGGCTGAGTGTAGCTGTGCCTTGCTGTAACTCCTGCAGTATGTGGCATCCTGGTGATCCCTTGCTGCTGCTGCTGCTCTGATGTCCTCCCCATCATGGTCACTGGATGGTCATGACCTCAGCTGTTGTCTGACCATGGTGGGGAGAAGTGTCCGACAGGGTGGGCAAAGTGAAGTGTCTGAGTGCACCTGGGGAACGAACAGGCTTGGCAGTGAGGGAATTAAAAATAAATTAAAAAAAATAAAAATGAAAACCTGTTGAGTCATAAACTCAACAAACTTGACAGGGGAGGCATATGATAAAGCTCCCCAGAGCCTGTTGCACCAGGTTTTACCGGAACCAGCCAGATGTGGGACAAGCAGAAAATGCACTTAACCCACATCCAGGGACTTATCGGCTCATGGGCTGGACCAGCAACAGCGGAGGAGGAGGAGGAGGAGGAGGATGCTTCTTTTCAGACCTTGTCTTTAAGTCCTCCTGTGTGCCCTCAGGGTGGGAGGCCACAGAGGGTTGGAAGGAGGAGCCCCAGCTCTGCCTGGCTTCTGGCCTGGCTGTTCCTGCATGGGTCCCGGCCCTGGTTTTCTGCCCCTTTTGGGTACATTAGTGCATACGACACCTTCCTGTCTCCAGGGCTGGGACAGAAACCCCTGGCAACTTCCCATTGATGGCAGGAATTTTCTTGAGGGGTATTTATAGGCAGTAGTGATGCCACCAGGAGGAGTGGAGGAGGCTGATCCTGCTCTGCTTCGCCCCTCACCCAGCAGCTTCTCCTGGAGGAGATAGAGGTGGAGTCTGGGCTGTGGGATGGGTGGCTTTGCTGGTGTCTAGGAGAGCTGACACTGTGCTTGTGCTCCCCCCAGTTGTGCTCATTGGGGACTCTGGGGTGGGGAAGAGCAACCTGCTGTCACGCTTCACCCGCAATGAGTTCAACCTGGAAAGCAAGAGCACCATCGGGGTGGAATTTGCCACGAGGAGCATCCAGGTGGACAACAAGACGGTGAAGGCTCAGATCTGGGACACGGCCGGGCAGGAGCGGTACCGCGCCATCACCTCAGCGTGAGTTTCCTTGCTCCCCACCTGTGGCTCTCACCTGGGGCCCTGCTGTGACCCCGTCCCCTCGCTGTCCCCCAGGTACTACCGGGGGGCGGTGGGAGCTCTGCTTGTCTACGACATCGCCAAGTACCTGACGTATGAGAATGCCGAGCGCTGGCTGAAGGAGCTGCAGGACCACGCTGACGCCAACATTGTCATCATGCTGGTGGGCAACAAGAGTGACCTGCGGCACCTGCGGGCTGTGCCCACTGACGAGGCCAGGAGCTTTGCAGGTATCTTTCCCCCTCCCATCCCATCCCCTCCCATCCCATCCCCTCCCATCCCATCTGGCTGAAGCTCACAGAACCCATCTGAGCTCACCCTGTCCTTGCAGAGAAGAATGGGCTGTCCTTCCTCGAGACATCTGCTCTGGACTCCACCAATGTGGAGATGGCTTTCCACAACATCCTCTCAGGTAAGGGGCAACCAGGAAAGGGAGGGGGCAGGGACAGGGATGGCTTTGGACCTTGTGTCCTCTCAGGATCCTCCTGGGGACCCCATCTGTACCGGGTGGGATTTGGGGTGGAATCCTTCTCCCTGGATGGGGAGATGTTTGCATTTGTACCCCTGGAGCTGTGTGTTTGGAGAGGGGGCAGATCCCCCACTGACATATGTACTTAAAGAATTGTTTTTTCTCTTCCTTTCCTCTCTCTGTTGGCAGAGATCTACCGCATCGTGTCCCAGAGGCAGATCACTGGGCAGCCGGAGTCAGAGTTCGGCCCCAGCACCACCATTGAGCCCATCCGGGTGCTGCCCACGCAGCAGGAGGGCCGGCAGACCCCCTGCTGCCAGAACATCTGAGCCCCTGGACTGCCCCCACCATGACGGTCCGCCACCCAGCACATGGTGGCATCATGTGTCTCACCCTCTGCCTCTGCCCCCCACAACCCCCTGAGCCGGACAGGCTGGCAGCTGCTTTTGTCTGCAACCTCACGCTGCCCATGCACTGCTCTCCCTGTGTTTATGTAGGACCTACAAAAATAGGGGGGGAGGCAAAGCATCAGGGTGTCTCCCCTCTCTCCCCGTGATTGGGGACATGCCATTCCCTGTGTCCCTACTCCCTCTAGCCCTGCAGGCACAGTCACCGAGTGGCTGGGTGGCACTGAACAAGCCTGAACGTGATGAGTCCCTGTTTGGTGACGCCCTGGGTGCAGCCCTGCAGGGAGGGGGACACCGGGTGCACCTTTCTCCCGCCCAGTGAAAGGAGCAGCAACATGCCCAGTTGCACCCAGCCCTGCCCCTGTGACACCGAAGGCTGGGAGTGCCCCTGGGTGCTGCTGGGGACATTGGGGTGGGGTGTGGGGATGACACTGTTTTCATGCTGTGACCCCTTCGAGGCATGGCCCAAGCTGTGACTCTTTCATGAAAAGAGATGGGAGCAGGAACTGGGGGGCCATGGCTTCTGGGGAGGCCTGAGGAGGGGACAAGGGGGGGCCAGGGCTTTGGGGGCTGAGGGTGAGGGCATGGATAGGGTGCTGAGGGCAAGCACATGGTCCCTCCACACAGCTCCCCGTGTGGGGACCAGTGCCAGCACTGGGGACCCCTTAGCTCCGGTTCTCAGGAGCCCCTGGCACGGGTTGACCCTGCCCCACTCCAGTGTTTGGCCACTGGTGGCTGGTGCCCTCATGGCCCAGCCTGGGGACATGGTGCCATTAGATGGAGCATCTGCTGCACCTGCAGGGTGAGAGTGGCCCTGTCCCCTGCCTGGAGGGCAGCAGCCACCCCCCAGGGTGGGCACCTCCGAAGGTGCTGGGACAGACTGGGCTGGGCCCAACCCCTGTCAAGGGCCATTGGCAGGTATCAATCAGGACTGGTGCAAGTGGGAGAGCCTGTCCCCACTGAACCAGTGCTGGGGGTCTCTGTCTCTCCGTGGCTGCCCCCCATCACCCCATCTCACTTGACTGTGTCGGCAGGATCTGGGCCAGCCACTCACCTTAGGGTGAAATTTGTCAATGAAACAGGAATTGAGGCAAAATCCCCAAATAAAGCTGCTATTGAGAGTCTTTCTCTCTCTGCCAGGGCAGTTCCTTGAGGCAGGAGCGGTGCCAGCCCCACACGGGGCAGCTGGGCAGCATTCCCAAGCAATGAAGGGTGACAAGGAGGAGGGCAGGGAGAAAGGTGTGACTGTAACCTGGGCAAGGGGGTGCCCTCCTGGGAAACTGGAGAGGAGAGCTTGGAATTCAGGCTCAGAGGGGCAGGTTGGATCATGCTGCCAGCACAGGGGCAGCGTTGCAGGGCACAAACCGGGCATGGGAGCAGCTGCACTACGTGGATGTCAGCCCCAAGTGGGTCTGGGTTGCCCCTTTTATCCAACTGACAGCACAGCCATGGCAGCATCTTAACCTTGGCTCCAGCCACCCCTGCATGGTGTGTCCCTGCACCGCAGCACTTCTCCATCCCAGAGACAGCCTCATCCCTGAGCCAGCCAGTCCCATCCTTGGCTGCATCCTGGGTCTCCTCACAGCTGGGGGCTGTCCCCAGGTGAGCAGTGGTCATCGCCCCATGGACTGGACTCTGCCCTGTGCCCACCCCAGCTGGCAGAGTCACGGTGACACACAGACCAGCTGGAGCTGCCAAGCGCCACCCCCTCCCACACCATCTGCCCACACCAAAACGTGGTGCCAAGAGGTGATGTCAGTCCTGCCGGCAGGAGAGGTGGGCGTGGGGGCGGATGATGCTCCAAAGGGCTCCTCAAAGGGACAGGGCTGAGCCAAACATCCCTTGGGGCTCCCTGCCATCAGACGTGCCATCAGCCAGGCACCAGCACGGACATGTGGGATGATGAGTTCATTTAGGCTCGTGGAGACACTTGGGCTCAGCACCTCAGTTTTGTTCCAGGCTTTCCAGCTTTCAGATGATTTCTGCAGGGATGAAGAAGTGGGCAGGGTGAAACGCGGCACAGGCTGGCTCATGGACCTGCTGGCACCAGGACTGGGAGCAGCAGCTGCTGCAGGGGGCTCACCATCTCAAAATGCTCTAACAAACCCCAAGAAGTGCTGCCAAAGGCACAGGACTGGTGGGAGACCCAGGAGGGGTAGCAGAGGGAGGTCTGGCCCCACCGCCTTGGAACTTGGCCCCTCAGGGTGCTGTTCCCAACCACTGCTCCTGCCCCCTCCTAAAGCATGGACAGACAGAAACCAAGAGCAGATACTGAGTTTCTTAAGTAATAATACTTTAATAAAATTAAGTTCTTAATGTAATTTAGCACATTTAATACATTAACCCTTTCCCTTCTTTGTTTTCTACAAGTTGTGCAACATCATTATTTTAATTTTATTTTAATTTTTTTCCTTCTCCCATTATACTATATGCCTCAAAACTCAGACAACGAGCCTAACTCTACTTCTATGTTCGGTTACATCTCTCTCTCAGGCCTTTATTTTTGCGTAACGCCGGAGAGATGAAAATACCTGGATGGAATATGTGATTGGTTTCCAATAGTAACAATCCCGACTACAGGTTTCCTATGACATTAAAAGAAAAGAGGGGAAAAAAAATAGCAAACACAACATAACAGGGAATGGACTTTAAATGGAAGGGCCACACAGTCGGGACGACCGGGAATCACCGGGCGACTCCGTGGCCACTGGCTCAGCGCAAGGTGGGAGTACCGTGGAGCAGGACCCGCGACAGCGCCCGCACCCGAGGGAAAGCGGATACACACCAACAGGTACAGCAATCTGGAGTGAGGATGAGGGGGAGCCAACGTAGTGCTGGGCAAGCAAAGCCACGAAGGGCTGGGGAGGGCTGCCCTTCCCCGTGTGGGTATCGGCGAGATAGGCTGCTGTGAGACCCTGTGGCTTGGGTTTCATTTCACCTCATGTCTCACATGGGAAATCCCACTGGAGCTGCTCTGACAGAGTCCCCAGGGCAGTAAGCTGAAGCCTGGATCTCTTTGATACCAGGGCAGAGCCGGAAGAAATCCTCTGCAGCCCCACAGGCTCCTGACTGTGCAGCCAGATGCCTGAGGGCTGCTCTGGGCATCCCTGGGGATTTCCCTGGCTTGCCTGGGACTGGGATCAGAGCCAGCTCCACAGTGGTTGCAGCTCGATCAGACCTGCCAGTCTGGGATCCACCAGCCCTCATGCCCATCACCTTTCATGTTTGCTTAACACTGCTTCTAACCCAGGAGCAAATCCCATACTGCAAAACAGGATCCAGCCCCTGGGCTTTTTATTTTTCCTCTTTTTTTATGATTATCTTGAACAAAAGGCATAAAGAAAAAGGAAAAAAGAATGCCAGTGGTTTCACAGATGAGCAAAGCAGCCTGAGACTGCACCTTCCAACTCAGCTCTCGGGAGCCAAGAGCAGATCTCCTCAGCCACACCACACTGCTCCGTCTCCCTGCTCCGTTTCTCTGCAAATTGTTTCCAAAGCATCATCACAAATCCAAAAAAGCACATCCTGCCATCACCAACCCAGTACCACTGTCAGAGGGAAGCTTCATTTTCGTATCCCTGCAAAGATACCAGTGGAACAACTCCAGATTTTACATTAGTGTCACTTTACTGGGGGTGACTTTCAATTTGCTCCATTAGCAGCCCTGAAGTGACGCTGGAGCGGATCCAGCGGGAACGATGCGGGCTGCCAGGGCTGAAGCAACTCCAGATTCCAGTAGAGTAACCCCATTGGAACAGGGGAGTCACACGGGAGGGAAGCAGAAGCTGCCCAATCTCTGCCATCTCCCACTGGCATGGCACAGGCAAGTCTGCCCAGCACAATTCCAGCTGAATTTTTCACCAGGTCAACTGACAGCAGAATATGACTTCGAGTTTCTACAGTATGTGAAAACCCACACTAAAACACAGAGATTGCTCCCTAACATCCTCAAAAGGGTTTTGGAAGAACCAGCCCACCCTGGCTCTGCTGCCACCAAGGAAGCCTTGCTGGGGCAGAGGCAGGATGGGACTCACTGTCCGTACACAAGTGATGATAAAGTGCATCCACTTTCCAGTCCAGGGTACCACTGTACAATGTCCATCACTGACGCTTCTTCAAGTATAAAACAAAAAAATGAGGTAAAGCAAAACTGAAAGAGCAAACAGGCCACCTCACCGCCCCAGCAGGGAAGGACCAGGCGCTTGATTCCACCAAGCACGAACTCCTCTGGAAGCGCGGGAGACATCGTGCCCTGCTTCCCGAAATGCCCTCGTGTGCCGGGAGGGTCCCAGGGAGGGATCCTGGATTCACAGTGCTATTTATATGCAGAAACCGAATGAGAACTGTCTTCATTCCTGTCCTGACCTATTGCATGGCTTTGCTGAGTGATGAATGCTGGTAACGGCTGCCCCGGCCACCTGAAGCAGGTGCCATCAGGGAGCAAGGGGCAGCCACCACGCTTCTTGAAGGCTTTGGGATCTGTGTGGATGATCCCGAGCTGCAGGGCATCCCTGGGTTTGCTGTGGCTGAGCCACGACACAGAGGACAGGAGCAAAGGCTAAACCCAGAGGGAACCACCTTCCAAGCGTGTTTTCTTTGTGGCACTGAGCTTTGCTAACAACGGCATTGGCGCTTGGTCATTTCTTTCTGAGTTCTATCCTGTAAAGAGAGATTTTGGTGCAGCGAAAAGCATCACCAATGCTCTGCAGAGAAGTGCTAGCCTGGCTCTCAAACACATGGAGCAGCTGGCGGGGGCATGGGGCACATCCTGCCCCACCACCAGAGCCAGGGCTGCGCTACCTTGCCCTGCAGTGCCCAGAGTGGATCTGCCATCTCTGGAACACTCCACCAGCGTGCACGGCCCTGCCAGCCAGCCCAGCACACCACCATGCACCACCAGCTCAGGGAGCCCTCAGTCCCACTCTTTGCACTGCAGGGACTCAGGATATGGCCAGAGCCCAACACGCTGTGCCGGTCAAGAGTGACCTTCAGCCTCCTCCTCGCTTTCACAGCCAAAAACCAGGTGTGTGCCACAAGTGTCCCCCTCCCGTGAGCAGGACAGTGTCAGGGCGGCTGTCAGGAAGCAAAGCTGTGAGATCAGGGATGCCACGGCTCAGCACAGCTGTGGGAAGGACCTCTTGGGTCAGCAGGGACTTTTGCAAAGATCTCACCCGCAGCTCCAATGCTAGAACCTGATGGTTTGAGGCTGAGTAAGGAAACACCCGACAAACCAAATCTGGCCT